ACACACACACAAACACACACACAAACACACACACACACACACACACTTCATTTGCACACACACACGCACTTTATAGTACTACTGATACTGATTATTGCATTGTTGGAGAAGAGCTTGCAAGAAAGGCATTTCCCTGTACTTGTGCACGTGACAATAAAACTTGAAACTTGAACTGCGGGAAAGTGGGGGCAAAGGACACTGTCTACTGGTGTCCTATCTAGCTAGCTACCTATCCCACCTCCCGCCTGTCCTACTGTATGTACTGGAGTCCTAGCTAGCTAGCTAGCACACAGTTACCGCCACCTACTGTACTGGAGCGACCCCGCCTCCCGCCTGTGTACCAGAATACTAGTTTAAAAATGTACCAATGGAAGTATAAATAGGTGTTACTGCAGAAGCAGGAATGCCCCGAATTGTGGGCCACAATTACACCCTTCTCTTCCATTTGGTTAATACACCCCAACCTAGCCTTCATGTGAAACCAACATTCCAGTCACCATTGACTAATCTATCTCTGTGTTAATTGTAAGTATCCTGAATACAATGGACTCTTTTGATATTAATCCATTTTGAATATTGTGCTGTGTTACACAAATCTATTTACTTGTAAACACTGATTAATGTATTTGCCCTTATAATTGAAGACCCTTGTATAAACTGTAGCTCTACTGTACGTTCTGTGGCAGTCTAAGCCTGCCAGCCTAGTTGTATTTACATTTGAGTAATTTAGCAGACGCTTTTATCCAGAGCGACTTACAGTTAGTGAGTGCATACATTTTTCATATTGGCCCCCCGTGGGAATCGAACCCACAACCCAAGCGCCATGCTCTACCAACTGAGCTACAGGAGGCCCTGTATATGTTTTTATATTGATTCATTGTTAATACATTATATTGTGATACTCCTCCTGTGTGTTTCTGTGACCAGTGCCCAATTCAGGTGAGGGCTGGGGTGACATAACCCCCACTCCAACACAAGGCATTTCCATGTAAAAGGACACATGAGCACCAACATGTAAAGTTCATAGGGGCATGTCAAATTGGGTGTCAATTAAAGTTAAGAGACTATATATTTTTTTTTACATTTAGGCATATTGTATATGCATTTTTCAACCATTTTCCATCCTAAAAATGTGGAATTAGCAAAGGCTTTGATTTCTGGTCAAACCGATGGAAAGGGGATCTTTGAAAACATCTACCAGAAAAAGTCTTACATTCTTAAGTTCTTAAATATACATCAAAACACAATAATGCTGAAATGAAGACCCCTGCCAACTAGCATCAACACTTATATTTGGTTTTGGAGAAATTATTTGCCTTCATTGCTTTGTAATTCTGTTACCAAAAACCCACATACCATTAAGATATTTTCTAATTTGGAGGGAGGATAATGAAAGTTCACAGAAGTAAGAAGTACATTTAGACCTACCAATTAGTTATATTGTTTTTACTGATATCAATTTTGTTTATTAATTATTAAGTGATTCAAACTCATAATTATGTTACCATATCACAAACCACGGTTGGGTCACCTGCTACTGTCCTCCCTTCCGCTGGCATACTGTTATGTTCAGCTCATAGGCCTAACTGTTTTCTTTCTCTTTCAGTCATCTGGTGGTCAAAGCAAGACTGTGAAAACAGTCTGGACAACCCTTTCCTCTTTCTCTCCCTCACTCTGCCTCTCTCTCATTTCTCTCTTTCTCCAGTTAATGTCACCTCTCCCAGCTCCTACTGACACCTACCATGACACCTACCACCTACCATCTTTCCATTTACTGTAACCAGCATCCTCACCGACCAACACTGGACGTCCATGGACTTGAATAGTAATTGGTCAGTCCGCCCTGGCCTCGATTTCAACGTCCACAGAAGTCGTTTTTTGGTCCGGACCGGCCTTGATTTCAACGTCCACAGAGGTACATTTTTGAATCAATCAATCATTATCTTTATTGTCCCAATTGGGAAATGTGTTGTACAGTCAGGGTTCAACAATAAAAATAACATTAAAACAGAGGCAACCATACAACAGATATACATATAAGATAAATTATGAGATCGGTTATAGTCTAAGATCAGTAAAAAGGAGCAGTCATTGTGCAAAAGTGCACTAATAAATAAACATAATTTAATTTAATGTGCAGATTTAGACCTGTGGGATAAAATAGTTATTAGATCTGTTGCTCTTGAAAACGACAACCTGAGGGGAGGAGCCCAAAATCGGCAAGGAGTGGGTGATCAGGACAGTCTAGGATACTGGCTGAATCTCAAATCACCCCCTTCCCCTCGCCCCTTTCACTCCTCCATTTGCGCATTCACACGTGTCCACCATATGCACAAGTATCCCAACTCTCACTTGTTGGAACCGGTCGGTAAGGAAGTCCACTATCCAGCCCACAATGCTCAGCTCCAGCTTGAAGTGTGAGAGGAGCTTCTCCGCTAGTATGTGAGGCTGGATAGTATTGAAGGCAGACGAGAAGTCAATGAACAGAAGTCTCACGTGGGTTTTTTGGGCCCTCCAGGTGCTTGTAGAGGAAGTTGAATAGGGTTAGAGTGGCGTCCTCCACCCCCCTCTTGGCCCTGTAAGCAAATTACAGGGGGTTCAGGGAGTTCTCAACCTGACACAGTACATCCTTCTTGATTAGCTTCTCGAATGATTTCATCACCAAGGATGGCGGTACAGTACTGTACAGTAGAGTAGATAGAGTTCAGTACAGAACGGTAGAGCACACTAGAGTAGAGTACAGTATAATATCCTTTACTGTACTGTACTGAACATATCTACTTTACTGTATGCTACTGTACTGGACTGAACTCTACTGTGCTGGGCTGTACAGTACTGTACTCTACTGTGCTCTACTGTGCTGTACTGAGATTTCCAAACTTGTGAAACATAGACATCTATGATTGGTTCAGATTTGTCCCAGTTCGGACCAACCAAATGTGGTCTTGTTTGGGGGCGGAGGTCATTAGTATAATAGCCAGTGTGTAGATAATACCCATATATGCAAAGGATGATATTGCATATTTCTACCTTTGTCTACCTATTCAGGATACATCACCATGAAGAGTATGACATTCGTATCCATAATTATGCATTTCTGTGTAGTACAGATCAGGGACCCAGGATGTAATTCCGTTACCGTAATTCTGTTACCGGGTGTAAATCCACTTCACTTACTGTAACCAAAATAGATTTTTTCAAACTCAAGGTGACATGTCATAGCTGACACCCCATTCTTTCGGCAGACCTCTTTTAATCTTAATTCGGAGCAGATATTTAACAGACTTTTTGGAAAACACACACACACATACAAACACACACACACACACACACACGCATAGTGCATACATGTCATCATTTTGCAGGTGTCTGACACATACAAAGGGTCCATTCCTGAACACTGGGTCTCCTGGCAGTGATTAGAGCCCCTTGGAAACAACAGGCCCCTTGGCCCTTGGATACCGGTGTGGTGGTTAGCTTTTCTCTTTGCTGCTGTCCCAGGGTTTACAGTGACGCACCACTCTTACTGGAATACACTCACACTCTTTCACAGAGGTGCAGAGGAGCTGGAACTGTGAAGTGAAGTTTAATCTAACTTAAAATTGATGAGTTATAAATCCTTGTAACCAGACAGTTTCCATGGCGATGATGTACGTCAGAGTCACCTAGTTTTCCTCAGGCGAATCGTCTTAGTTTTAACCTTTTACTGCAGTGGGCTAAAATCAGGGTCACACAGAGTGTTTCTAGGTAGTCTCAAACAAATCTACTTTGAAACAAAAGTGTACACCTCACACTCATGGTTATTGGCTTAAAAAAATAAGACATCTAGACCATGTCAGATATAGAGTTGAAATGTATTACATTTTGAGTTTGCATCCCAATATTACACTTTATATATATCACAGAGTACTTTTTTGGCTTATGTTTTGAAAGATTGTTTATTAATTATGTAATTATGAAAAATATAAATAACATTCCACCCATGAGGCCACTAGAGGGCGATGTGGTCATTTGACTGCAGGAAAGGGCTACAGAAAACCGAGTAAGTCTGACCTGTTAAAATCAGATTTGTTGGCTTGCCTCAGGTGATATTTGTATGGGTGATATGTAAAACAGACTGCTGCTGAATCTAGTTTATCCCTGCCAGTTACAACCATTTGGATATCTTGGTTTTACCCCTGTTTGAGTTCTGAAGTTTGTCTCCTGGGACTCTGTTTTTGGGGATGGAGATTGGCGGACAGCGAGAAGGGCATGTAGCAGTATGAAATGCAGTGGCGATTTTTTCCTATTTTTGTCACTTTTCTCTTTTCTTTACCCATCTTTCCTCTGTGCTGAAGTTTTATGACTTTCTCACCGCCTGCTTGTTCGTAAACAAATGGGTTGCCAGGCAACTCTGGCAAACACAGAGCAGGAGCTGGTTGTTAGCGGAGGGGCTCTTTTATCCCCAGCATTGTTCCTCAACTCCCAGACCACCCCATCCCTCCCACCCCTCCACCTTCCCCAACCAGTCCCTACACCCATCCAAACCCCCTGACCCCTCCCCCCATCTCAGGAATCTCAAGCCCTCTTCCTCTCATTCAGGGGGGGGGGGGGGGGCACAGTACAAGAGGTGGCACTCTGGGTTCCCTTCATTTCTGTGGAAAATGTATCTCTGATCAGGATGGAATGTGTGTGTCTGCTTGCCTATGTATAGTTGGTATTCAAAGGTCTTCTGATGTTGTCTGTGTGGCCAGTGTCATATCCTCAAAGTAGGAAATCTGGAATAGTAGTGCATAGGGTATTATTGTAACCCCTCTTATGCGCCACCTATGCCCCTCCTCATGTTCTATCTATGGCCTATATGTGTGTGTGTGTGTGAGTATTGTGTGTGTGTGTGTGTTTCCAACACGTTGTGTGTGTGTGTGGAGGCGGGGATGTAATGGGGGCTATGGGGGGGTGTTTCTCTCCCCTTCTTTCTCTCTCTGTCTCCTTGGACACACTGACGGAGTCTCAGTCTTACTATGGCCACCACAACGGAGGAAAGCTCTCCTCTCCCTACCCAGAGAGAACCACACAGACCCGGCCCAGAACCCATCCTGAGACAGCTAGAACAATACCAGCCTCACCTAGAACCAAGACTAGAATGTAGTCTAGAACCCAGTCCTGGACCCATCCTAAACCAGGACCAGACTCTATCTCAGACCCCTTTTCCTTCCCCATCCCCGTCCCACCGCGACAGAGAGGAAGAGGAGGATGAGGACGAAGAGGAAGGAGGTAACTCCGGACCAGGACCAGAGCCTATGGGAGGTGAACATTCAGACCCGGAATGGGTTGAGGAGAGATTCCGAATCGATAGGAAGAAACTGGAGGCCATGCTGTATGGTAAGTTTGCTGAACAGGTGTGATGTGGTCTTGTGGTTATGCTTTGACTTTCAGTGTGGTCATAAGTTGACCAAGATTGAATCGTGATAGTACATACATTCGTACAGTTACCTGAGTTGACTCAAAGAAATGTATGAGTTCACAGTACAGTAATTGTAATGCTGTCCACAGTTCTTCTGCATAATGTGAATCCTGAGATGCTCTTAGCACCTGTCTGGAACAGCACCTCAGTATATAATTGTCAGGTCATTAAGCAGCTGTCATCATTGTTGTTAAGCATGGTTAAAGTTTCTGCCTTGATGATTTATGAGATAATCTTGCTTGTGTATTCACAGATGTGAGGCTCAGACAGGGGTACGGGAGTATCATCATTCCCATTCTGGCATGACAGTAGTGTAGAGGTGTCTGTCTGTGTTGGTTATCAGTGCAGAGCAGGTCTGTGGCAAACTTCCTCCCCTGTGTTACATTGGAAACTCTGGCAGGAGTAGTGAATTAGAGGCTGTTATTTCTCTCCTTCAGCCTTGATGTGGAGGAATCTGAGTATCTGAGAAGGCTTCATGCTGTTCATAGAGTGTATGATTTGTTTTAGTGTGTGTGCGTGTGGTGTGTGTGCGTGTGTGTGTGTGAGAGAGAGAGAGAGAGAGAAGCGAGAGAGAGAGAGAGAGAGAGAGAGAGAGAGAGAGAGCGAGAGAGAGAGAGAGAGAGAGCGAGAGAGAGAGAGAGAGAGAGAGAGAGAGAGAGAGAGAGAGAGAGAGAGAGAGAGAGATTGCATGGGTAGTGCTGTGAATAAGCCACACAACTCACACTGTGCTAGCCAGCCAGTTTTTGATAAACATCATATTCTCTTTCCCTTGAGTGTTAGTTAGCATGCTGTGTTGGGACTGAGATCTGGGACGTTAGGGTGCAAATAATCACTATAGACGGATAGGTATCCTAGTTGTTTTTCCATCCATTTCTAGAGTGTGACAGTGGTTGTTGTTTAATTTCTGGTGGGGTAGGGGGTCCATGCGTCAGTGAAATACATTTGACGCGATTAGCTGTCTCTGGGGCTGGCTTTTGGTGCCCCCCTCTCCTCTCTCTCCGCCCCATGCTGCTCGCTCGCCCATTCCTTGGTTTCGAGGGAGCGTAACCCATGGCGATTAGAGGACGGGGGCTTTTTACAGGGTGAGGGGGGAGCCCCCATAAATGTCCTTGTGAAGCGATGGCCTTTCAAAAATGTTTACCTTCCAGCCCTCGTCCCCCTCTTCTCTGCAAATTTCAACTCTCCCTGTTTAAATGTTGACCCTTAGATCTCACATACTTCTCTCTTTGAAGAGAAGTGTTGCTTAGACACAAACAAACCATTAACCAGTAACCCTGTCTGATTATTGTTTATACTGTATGTTTGTATATCTTTATACCTCCGATTATGTGCAATAAGTGACTCTCTCTCTACCTTTCTGTCTCTTCCTTCTCTTTTACCCTTCTATCTTTCTCTTTTCTCAGCCCCTAGACATGGAGAGGGACTTACAGGTGAAGAGTTCTTTGAGAGAGTAAGTATGCAGAACAAAGGTCACACTGACACTGAGAATAAAGGATGGAGATCAAATAAAAACAATGATAGGCAGACATTCATATAATGCAGAAAATAACTTAAATGAAACGACCTGCATTTAAAAGTCTACAGATTTCCCAGAGGAAGTCTGTATAGAGAACATGAAAGGTCACAGACTGACTGTCGACATTGTTTCTCAGCAATTTGTCGTTGTTACGGCGGTGATGAACCTCTTTGAGATGCTAATGAAGTATTGTCTTCTCTGAATAGGACATGCTTTGGTGTGTGTGTGGGGGGGGGCTGGTGTTGCTCTCATGGTAAAACACCTGTCTTTCAGACTCCTTAGTTTCTCTGTCTCACACATATTGACACCTGTTTTTTCTCACATTTTTTCTTGCAGGTGATGGTGGAAACTAACACCCAGGTGAAATGGCCATCAAAGCTGAAAATAGGAGCCAAGTCAAAAAAAGGTGATGTTAACGCTATCTGGTCCAGAACACCTGACACCTCAATACTCAAACAACCTGTCTCAATCTGTCTCAATCTGTCTCAACCTGCCTCAATCTGTCTCAACCTGTCTCAATCTGTCTCAATCTGTCTCAACCTGTCTCAATCTGTCTCAACCTGTCTCAATCTGTCTCAACCTGTCTCAATCTGTCTCAATCTGTCTCAACCTGTCTCAACCTGTCTCAATCTGTCTCAACCTGTCTCAACCTGTCTCAACCTGTCTCAACCTGTCTCAATCTGTTTCAATCTGTCTCAACCTGTCTCAACCTGTCTCAATCTGTCTCAACCTGTCTCAACCTGTCTCAATCTGTCTCAACCTGTCTCAATCTGTCTCAACCTGTCTCAGTCTGTCTCAATCTGTCAACCTGTCTCAATCTGTCTCAATCTCCTATACAACATGATATGCAATATTATACTAAAGATGTATCAGACTTCCTGCTAGTACATGTCTTTTAGATGAATTGTTAGTATCCTGTCTCTTGTATCGATACTGCAGACCCCCATGTGAAAGTGGATGGGAAGAGAGCCAATGTTCAAGAGGCCAAAAAGAAGATTCTAGAACTTTTGGAGACAAAGGTGAGTGTCCTAAACTGAGGTATAATCAAATACCTCACATGTAATTAAGTAAACTAACTAAATACAGTTAGTTAAACCCATGTTCTCCTGAGCCAGGTCAACAAGGTGACCCTGAAGATGGACGTGGCCCACACAGAACACTCCCATGTGATCGGGAAAGGGGGCGGGAACATCAAGAAGGTGATGGAGATGACATCATGCCACATCCACTTTCCTGACTCCAACCGCCACAACGCCACTGGAGAAAAGAGCAACCAGGTACTGTCTCTAAGTAACCCAGAACAGTTTCTTAGCAACTGTCTCTAAGCAACCAGGTACAGCATCTTAGTAACTGAGTATTGTCCCATAGCAACCAGGTACTGCCCGTTAGCTATTGTCCTTCAGCAATTTTATTTTGTCTCTCCCTTCCCTCTCTCTGCCTCCCCTGTCCAGGTGTCCATCGCTGGGCCTGTCCAAGGGGTGGAGGCAGCCAGGAAGAGGATACGAGTCAGTGTCTCTACATCTTAATGCATTGGTGGCTTTCATCTTATTTTGTGCATGAGATCTATACATTATCATGACCTCTCACCCTTCTCTCTTTTGTGTCCCTCAGGATCTTCAGCCCCTGGTGTTGACCTTTGACCTCCCAGTGACCCTGGTGTCCCAGGCCCTGCCGGATGCAGCGTCGCCGGTCATCCAGCAGGTGGCGCAGGCTCTGGGGGTCAGTGTGAGCTTCAGGGCCCAGCCCAGACTGTACAGCAGCTGCTGTGTGGTTAGAGCACTGCAGGGCAATGCCGCCGCCATCAAGGTCAGTGGAACACAGATGTACTGAGAGCCACACACACAGACACACACACACACACAGACAGACACACACAGACATACACACACACAGACACACACACACACACACACACAGACATACACACACAGACATACACACACACACACACACACACACTCCCATTTCTCTGTCTCGTTGTTTTCTCTATTTCTTTGTGACTTTTAGATGCACTTCCTCCTTACTTTCATAAAAGAAACCTCCACTCTCTCTCAATTCAATTCAATTTCAATTAAATTCAATTAAATGTAAGGGCTTTAGTAGCATGGGAAACATATGTTAACATTGCCAAAGCAAGTGAAGTAGATAGTAAACAAAAGTGAAATAAACAATAAATATTAACAGTAAACATTACACTCAGAAGTTCCAAATGAATAAAGACATTTCAAATGTCATATTATATATATATATATACAGTGTTGTAACAATGTGCAAATATATGGGAAAATAAATAAACATAAATATGGGTTGTATTTACAATGGTGGTTGTTCTTCACGGGTTGCCCTTTTCTTGTGGCAACAGGTCACAAATCTTGCTGCTGTGATGGCACACTGTGGTTTTTCACCCATTAGATAAGGGAGTTTATCAAAACTGGGTTTGTTTTCGAATTCTTTATGGATCTCTGTAATCTGAGGGAAATATGTGTCTCTAATATGGTCATACATTTGGCAGGAGGTTAGGAAGAGCAGCTCAGTTTCCACCTCATTTTGTGGGCAGTGTGCACATAGCCTATCTTCTCTTGAGAGCCAGGTCTGCCTACGGCGGCCTTTCTCAATAGCAAGGCTATGCTCACTGAGTCTGTACATAGTCAAAGTTTTCCTTAAGTTTGGGTCAGTCACAGTGGTCAGGTATTCTGCCACTGTGTACTCTCGGTTTAGGGCCAAATAGCATTCTAGTTTGCTCTGTTTTTTTTGTTAATTCTTTCCAATGTGTGAAGTAATTCTCTTTTTGTTTTCTCATGTTTTGGTTGGGTCTAATTGTGTTGTTGTTGTTGTCCTGGGGCTCTGTGGGGTCTGTTTGTGTTTGTGAACAGAGCCCCAGGACCAGCTTACTTAGGGGACTCTTCTCCAAGTTCATCTCTGTAGGTGATGGCTTTGTTATGAAAGGTTTGGGAATCGCTTCCTTTTAAGTGGTTATAGAATTTAACGGCTCTTTTCTGGATTTTGATCATTAGCGGGTATCGGCCTAATTCTGCTCTGCATGCATTATTTGGTGTTTTTCGTTGTACATGGAGGATATTTTTGCAGAATTCTGCATGCAGAGTCTCAATTTGGTGTTTGTCCCATTTTGTGAATTCTTGGTTGGTGAGGGGACCCCAGACCTCACAACCATAAAGGGCAATGGGTTCTATAACTGATTCAAGTATTTTTAGACCGATCCTAATTGGTATGTCGAATTTTATGTTCCTTTTGATGGCGTAGAAGGCCCTTCTTGCCTTGTCTCTCAGATCGTTCACAGCTTGGTGGAAGTTACCTGTGGCGCTGATGTTTAGGCCGAGGTATGTGTAGTTTTTTGTGTGCTCTAGGGCAACGGTGTCTAGATGGAATTTGTATTTGTGGTCCTGGCAACTGGACCTTTTTTGGAACACCATTATTTTTGTCTTACTGAGATTTACTGTCAGGGCCCAGGTCTGACAGAATCGGTGCAGAAGATCTAGGTGCTGCTGTAGGCCCTCCTTGGTTGGTGACAGAAGCACCAGATCATCAGCAAACAGTAGACATTTGACTTCAGATTCTAGTAGGGTGAGGCTGGGTGCTGCAGACTGTTCTAGTGCCCTCGCTAATTCGTTGATATACATGTTGAAGAGGGTGGGGCTTAAACTGTATCCCTGTCTCTGTGTGTGTTTTTTGCCAATTTTAACCGCACACTTGTTGTTTGTGTACATGGATTTTATAATGTCATATGTTTTTCCCCCAACCCCACTTTCCATCAATTTGTATAGCAGACCCACATGCCAAATTGAGTCAAAAGCTTTTTTGAAATCAACAAAGCATGAGAAGACTCTCTCTCTCTCTCTCTCTCTCTCTGTCTCTCTCTACCTCTGAACCCTAACAGAAGGCGGTGTGTGTGCTGATGGAGCTGCTGCTGGGGTCGGAGCTCGGGGCTGGGGGTCAGGGTGGGGTCACGGGGCTGGTCAGCACCCAGCTGGACGTGACCTCCCAGCAGCACCTCTTCCTGCTGGGGCAGAACGGAGCCCACTTCCTGGGGGTCATGCACCAGACCCAGACCCAGATAGTTCTGCCAGACCTCAACGCCCCACAGAACCCCCCCTCACTGCTCATCCAGGGAAGCCCAGACGGAGTGTGTCTGGCCAGGCAGCAACTCATGGTGAGGAGCGGTCAAAGTTGACGTTTTTATTTTGATTAATTGATTGATTATTTGATTCAACCAGACAGACAGTTAGATTTGAGGTAAAAGTGGAACCTTGTTTACTGTGGAGAATTGCTAAGAGAGGACCGTAAGAAAACCCTCTGTTGTCGTTCTACAGGACTGTCTGCCTGTGTGCCTGATGTTTGACATGCGTGAGGATGGGGAGGCAGACCCTCGTAAACTGGCTCAGATGATGCAGAGTCTGGGGGTCTTCATCAGCGTCAAACCCAAAGTCAAACAGACCGCCAAGGTACAATAGTGCTATAGCAAGTGTTATAGTCATATTATTGCTAAATGTGTGTGATGAAGTACTGTACTGTGTTGGACTATATTTCCTGGTTTGTATGACATGGGGAGAATCTCAATTGCATACTCCTCGTGTCCTCTCTCCTCTCTCCTAGCCTCCTTCCCAAAACCATTTGATGAGAAAGAGGTCCCTCCCCTCTGACCTTCTCCTCCAATTGGTTTTGAGAAGGAGGTGAGGAGAGAGGACACGAGGAGTATGCAATTGAGATTCTCCCATTGTTTTGTGTGTTGGACTACATTTCCTGGTTCGAATGACATTGTGTTGTGTGTTGGACTACATTTCCCAGTCAGTGGTGGTAAAGGGTCTGGAGAGGAACATCCCCAGTCTGTACGAGGCTCGGCGGCTGCTGCTAGGGCTGGCGTCCAGCGAAGTCGCCATGACAGCCAAGATGAACTCTGACCCCATGTTGGCCGGTAACGGGCTGACCAACTACTGGCTCAACATGCTGCTGCAGCAACTCCGCCTCTCCGACCACGGTGTGTGTGTTTGTGTGTGTGTGTGTGTGTGTGTTAGTGTCTTTTCATTTATGTATCACTGTTTTCACCTGTCCTATTCTAATCTTTCATCTGGTCTTCCTTTGTCTCAGGCTCAGTGCCCACCGCTGAGGCTGTGAATGGCTCTTTTTCCCAAACTAAACCTCACCCGTCACCCCCACCAGGCCTAACTCCGCCCTCTGAGGAAGTGAGGATGGGACTGAAGGGGAAAGAGAGCAGGCAACTGGAGAAGGTGTGGAGAGATAGGGTCACCATCAGATCACAGTATTAATCCATATAACTAACAGACAACATTACAAAAAAAACAGCCACCGTTAGCCCGCTTGTACTAGACTCAGTTAAGTGAAGTACTGTGAGAATTTGAGAGAGTGTGAGATATATTGGATTGATACCACAGGAGGCTGCTGAGGGGAGGACGGCCCATAATAATCGCTGGAATGGAGTGAATGGAATGGTATCAAACACATTCCATTCATTCCGTTCCAGCCATTACTATGAGCCCGTCCTCCCCAATTAAGGTGCCACCAACCTCCTGTGATTGATACAGTAGTAAGGCGTTTCCCTGCAGGGGATTTGATTCTGCAGTTGTCCTAAGGGTGGTGCTATTGGATCAGTAGGATCAGGTTTGACCAATGAGATCACCTCTGTTTCCCCAGATCCCAGAAAACGAGGATCCATCCGGCCTGTCTGACGAGGACGAGAGCCCTAGTCCGATGACATCAGAGCTGAGTGATGTCATGAGCCAGGTCAGGATGATAAGTCGGAGGAGCAGCCTCCAGGGTCCTGAAGTCTGCAGGTTCCTCAACCAGGGGAGACGCCACTCAACAGGCCAGGTCATGAACATGAGGTAAACACATTCACACTAGGGAGTGTACTGTGACATTAAGTTGTCCCTAGACACAATGGTTGAGGTTAGGATTTTTGTTGGATAGGCCCAAATATCTGTGGATTTGATCTGGGGCCCCTGTTTTTTCAGAAGGGAATTAAAAACTATAAAACCAAAAAATATTTTTTATGTTTTGCCTTTTGTTCTGCTGTTTGATATATTGCCTCTGGAAAACAACAAGTTAATTTGGGACTGCAGTGTTATTTTTTTGCAGTTTAGCAACACTCTCATTCTAAATAATAATATCAGAACGGTATTGCATTTATTCATTCCCTCTCTCCAGTATCATGTCTCAATGTTCCTTACAGCCCTTGGATTAGTTGAGAGAGCTACTTGGCTAAGTGAGTCCTACAAACAGCCTTCATGCTCTGTGGCTCAGACCTGACCTTGGTCTCACTGCTGCTGCTCTGTTGCAGACTGCTGGACGGAGAGATGGAGGGAGGACGGAGTGAGAGACGCAACAGCCTGAGAGAGATGGAGGGAGGGAGGGGTGATAGTAGACGGAACAGCCTGAGAGAGATGGAGGGAGGGAGGGGTGATAGTAGACGGAACAGCCTGAGGAGGGATGTGACTCAGACTCAGGACACTCTCTCTGACGTGTCAAGGAATGAGGTGAGACTCTCACTCTGATTTACAATGATTCATTAATAGGTTTTGTTGCACATTGATCGTGGATGAGGTGAGAACTTCCCCCAGCTAGAACTTAAAAAACCTAAATGAGAAATATAGAAGAGCATGTTATGTGTCACACAGTGTGACTTTGTAGACTGTGTCACACAGTGTGACTTTGTAGACTGTGTCACACAGTGTGACTTTGTAGACTGTGTCACCAATTGATTTCACCTCTTTCTTTGAGTCTTACAAAATCTCATTTGAAGAATTTGATTGTGTGTTTGTGGTGGTTGTTGTTTTTGCCCTTATTTGTCCTATTTGTGCCGCTGTACCAAAGGTTACCGTGGGGAAAACATGTTTATCTCCACGGTAATGACAGGATGTGCTAGGTCAAGTCATCTTCTGTTCTCTCAGTAAATCAGGTTCCCCCACAGAACACATCATTTACAGAACAGCGTAACTGCATTTCCTCCTTTATTTACCGACTTCATCCCCCTTTTCCTGTTTCTGCAGGATTACGACTATGAGATGAAGAAACTGCTGGCAACTAGAGGTGAGTCCTTTTAAATATCCTGTTGTGTGATCAGAAGCTCAGCTCATTAAAAACATCATTTTGGTTTGTCCAGGGTTCAGTCACACAGAAAGGTATTTTTGGACCTGCAGAGGAGTCCTACCAAGAGGGACCCATTTAGCAGCTGCACCTGGCCAAATTAGTTTTCATTGCATATCATTGGAATGGGTCACTTGCCACTGTCTTCTATTGAGAGACAAGGCAGCTCGTGTTTGTTATTCAGATCAGTGATGGAGGGAATACAATTAATCTGAGACTATGAGCCAGAGCCTTGAGAGAGGACCCATTTATTTTCTGCACATTGCCAGAGAGGTGATGGAGGGGACACACTTATGGTGTGCACCGTGCCAAAGTTAGATAGAGGATCATTGCTACTCCCACTGAATGTACACATTCTGGTGTCTGATACACTGTCTCAGCCACACAACCACACACACACACACACACACACACACACACACACACACACACACACACACACACAGACACACATTCTCTTCACCATCATTCAGAATTAGGGATATTCTGAGGATCTTTAGCCAAATGGTTCTAAATTCCCTCAGTGTTGCTTTATGGGATTATGAATTAGCAGTTTGAATGAGCCATCTGCCTCTTGGTCATTATGATACCCATATGTCTATCTATGAGAGCTAGACACACACACGTGCACGTGCACACACACACTCCCACAATGTTTTTTTTACACATCACACACTCATACATGGATCCTGGAATACACACTCTCACACTAATTTCAATGTGTTTAGTGTCTATGACTATGAGATTCTTCATTAAGCATTCTATATCAGTGCAATTCTCTGTGAATCTATCTGTATTATTCAACACCTGACAACAACGGCTACCAATTAAACCACTGTTTGTGAGTGATTGATATTTATAACTTTGTGTGTATGTTTCTTAGAGTAAGTAAGTTATGTGTGTGTTTATGTTTTTGTCTGTGTATCTATCTGATCTGTCTATGGCTGCGTTTACACAGGCAGTCTAAATCTGATATTTTGCCAATAATTGGTCATTTGAACAATCAGATCAGATCTTTTGCCAATAATTGGGCAAAAAAAATCAGAATTGGTTGTCCTGTGTAAACGCATCCTACGTGTGTGTGTGAGATGCATTTTATCTGTACTCTCCCAGCCATGCAGAGGAATCCGGTGGTGACAGAGGTTCGGACCCCCACTGATACCTGGAGTGGTCTGGGCTTCTCTAAGTCCATGCCTGCCGAGGCTGTTAAGGAGCTACGCAACATCAGCCGACGCAGCTACAAACCCTACCAGGCAAACACTGGCCAACAACAACAACAGGTACAACTGCTAATATCTTACCTGTACTAGAATCCCTATAAACCCTACCTGACAAACATTGGATAGCAACAGGTACAGCTCACCTTACTAGCTACTATCAGCTTACCTGTGGAAAATTGGCCAAAGGGTTTAAACCAGAATTGTCTCACCTGTGATACTATTTCACCTGTACTAGGGTTATCATCTTACCTGCTTTTACATCAACCAACAGATTAGTACAACGATAAATATTCCATGGGCTGTATTGCTGACCTGTCCTCTTAGTCTCCACCAGGCAGGGTTTATCAGCCGTTAAGCAGCTGCCCTCGCTAAATGTTCTGTGGACTAATTTGGGTTAATAGATAAGATTGGGAACTGTCTGATGGCTTCTGTGTTGTTCTGCGCGAGGGGATTTAGGAGTGTGTGCGTTTCGCCTAAGTGCCTGATTATTTTTTAGCGAGCTTGGAGAGGTATTGAGCTGGTTGAGAGTTTGTTTAGAAATATGATTATTCTCAGTGTTATTTGGCGCGATTGGTATTCTTGCACTGAGAAATACCCAGAGCGGAGGAAAGAAACTGTGAGCACCAATTACCTCCCTGTCTCATCCACTCATCCTCAGGGAGGGAGCGAGAGAAGGAGAGAGTGAGTGAGAGAGGGGGGTGGAGGAAAAGTGAGGAACAAAGCAAAGGAAGTGTAAACAAGCAGAATATATGCAATTAAACCCCATCTCTCCCCCATCCTTCTCTCCCCCATCCTTCTCTCTCCCACTCTTTTCTCTCTTTTGCTCTCTCTCTCCATGTAGACCTGGGTCCCGCAGAATGGGAAGGAGAAAGTGTCTAATGGCAGTAATTCAGAGAACTGGCGTGACAGACGAGGATCATCCTCTTCATCCTCCCCCATTTTCCCTTCTCCATCTTCCTCCTCCTCTTCCTCCCCCTCTAACTTCTCCTCTTCCTTCTCCTCCTCCACGTCGTCCTTCCCGGCATTTGCGTCTTCAACAAACAGACCCCGAACCGATAAAACCTGTATGTTTTTTTCTGTGTCTCTAAGAGAGAGAGCGAGAGAGTGTGTCTACAAAGAGAAATTTGAATGAAATGCAATTCCAATGTCTGGCTAATCTTCAATGTAGTCAGTATCAAAGCTCTGCTTTAAATGTCTTCCATCTGACAGCTATAGAAAGATATGAGAAGACTTTGTTATGCGTAACTGTTCCTTCTGTCACTCCCCTACTCTCCCCATCCCTCCCTGACCTCTTCACCTTTGACCTCTGACCCCTAGCGGAGAGCTTCCTGAGCTGCAGTAACTACTTTGAGTGCGTGTCCTCGGTGAGGGCGTTGACTGCTAGCCAGCGGAGCCCCTCCCCCCAGCCAACAGATGACCTCCCAGAGCTACTGAGCCAGCTGGGTATGGGGAAGTACATCGACGTGTTCCAACAGCAAGAGGTACAGACAGACAGCTAGTGCCCCCTGGGGCATAGAAGTAACACATTCACAGAGAAACAGGTCATTCCTCGATCTGTTGAAGTAGCCTACATAGGCAGGACTGACTGAGGTGTTTTCAGTGGCACAGAGGATGACTCAATGATCATCCAGTCTATGTACTGTCTGAAGAACTGTGTTTTCATGCCCCCTATTTCCGCAGATAGATTTCCAGACTTTCCTGACTCTGTCTGACGAGGATCTGAAAGAGGTGGGAGTGTCCACCTTTGGAGCGAGAAGGAAGATGCTACTGGCCATCTCAGGTGAGTGATCGGTAAACACCATATAAAACCAATCCACTTTTCTAACGTGGACATCTTATGTATAGAACATCTCTCTCTCGCTCTCTCTCTCCATCCACCCATACATCCAGACCTAAACAAAAGCAAGAGGAAACTGTCAGAGACGCCTGCTGTGAAGCCAGTCTACCTAGAAGGCGGGGCTAGTGGCCGGCTCCCACGAATCATGGATGAGGACAACGCTGCTCAAACAAACCACTGGTGAACCCCACACAACATTACCTAACCTGGGTAGAACTGCCTGTAGGAACAGATCCAGGATCAGATTGGCTTCCACATATCCTAACCTTGGTGGCAAACCCAAAAATGACTTTAGATCAGTGTCTAAGGGCAATTTCATCCTACTGCCATGCCCTACACCAGCAGCCTTTACCCAAAGCCTGTCCTAACAACCTCAAGACCAGGAGGACCCTAGCATTGGGAAGACTCCAGTATTGTCTAAAGGAATGCTGAGCATTCATACAAACTATGTGACACTATGTGGACTGTCACAGACATTCTCTCTTTTCTATTGGCCTCTCTTCTCCTCAGATAGTGCCTTATGCAAGTCTGTGTTCCTCTACTCTGTGTGTTGTGGGTTGAAGTCCACTGTTAACCACATATATGCATTGTACATAAACCTACAAGGGAAAAATGAGAATGTATAATGATATTATTAGAGATGATTATTAAACGTTTCCAAAAACTTGCTGCCTCTTTTTTACCCGAGGACTCAACCAAATGTTTCTCAAACCAATTGATCTGAATTAAAGCCTTCGTTGGAATGACTTGTATTTTAGCACAGTAACCAAATATGATCCAATAAATTAGAGGTCCACCGCTAGAGGGCACTGACGTCACAAACAGTGTGCTTTTTTGTAGGTTCAAGTCACATTCTCCACTCCTTGTTATTGCATCAATAGGCCTAATTATACGTCAATTTTAGAAGGAAATCAACCAGCAACGACATTAAATAGAGCTTGATGGAAAGCCAGGAGTTGGGTTGCTATATGAACATTCAAATAAATGAATCAACAAAAAAATTATAGCCCAACGGATTTATTCTCGTGAGTAATGTGAAACGCTTTCAATATTGTTTCTCCTCACCTGAGCGCACATCTAAAAGTTCCAATTACATTTATCAGCAGTTAGCAGGCGTGAAGTTATTGCCTCCGTATTTGAGTCGTTTCTCATTTATTTAGAATATTGGTAATTAGGTGGGATCACGAGGGCCTCCGGGGGCCAACAACCGAATATAAACGATATTGCTAGACTAGATTGACGCGTTTTATCATACCAAAATGAAATTATTTGGTTGTCATTTTAAGTGAAAACTATCTAGCAATTTTTTAAATAAGGCTATGTGCACATGGCTTTGATAAACATTTGCCATAAGAATACAAACAAGACCTATAGAAAGCAGAGCAAAGCAAATCAATTCATAGCACCATATTTTTTTTTGTACACTTCCAAATCAGGCGGGTTGCCCCTCATCGCACTGGTGGCGCTGCGGTTGCATGTCTCATCAGTCACACTGGGCACCGGATGAAAATAGTCCCGGGGAGCGACAGCCGCTCCGTATCCACTCAGAGTGAAGACATGTCGGACTGCCTGGTCCCAGAGCCAGGAGAGATGAGAGAGGATGTGGAAGGACTGGGTTGGGAGAGATTATCCCCGTTTATTATAACGACCGTGTCACTTACATCGCATGCTGCAGGCCACGTAGGCGTGAATGAGAAACGCTTTGTTTGGACCCGTTTTTCTTTGGCTGCTATGACAGACCCTGCTGGTTTTCTGTTCTACCTGATAATTAATTTCACACACCTGGTGTCCCATGTCTAAATCAGTCCCTGATAAGAGGGGAAGAAGGAAAAAGAGCAGTGGAACTGGCTTCGAGGTCAAATTTTGAATTTGAGGGGTGTAGGCTTTACCGTTTTGTTTTTCCACAGTCGAGTCCCTCTGCTCCTAGTGACATCGGGCGCGGCGCTTGGTTCTGAAAGGACAGGGGTGCGGAAAGATCGGCGCTCGCAAATCTACTCTGCAGCGGGTCAGAAGGCGAAGCGCACAGGCCATATTGAAATGGGAGACAACTCGAGGCTATATGAAATAGGCCTATAGCAGATAATAAACATTATTGTAAGTGACAGGTATATTCACAGTGCTCTATTATATAGAAGCCTTAATGGAGCCTAACATTGCCATATGTTATAGGACTATACTCAAAGGAGCATTCTAAAAAGACTGCCTAGGCTATACTCGGCTCGCATTTTGATGACCAGAAAAGTTATCTAGGGATAACAACTATAGAGGAAAAATGTGTATGCTTATCTCAATCATGAAAGTACAGAATAATCCATCACCCCAAAACATATCCTTCTTATTGGCAGTAGTATCACCTGGAAATATTGCCTTGCAACAACAAACATTCGTTTATTCCCTTGTGAATGCACCATTCCCTCCGTTGTAAATCAATGACACACCAGCTCTCTGCACTGCAAAGACAAATAGAGAGGGAAGAATGGAGGGAGACATGGAGAGGGAGGTATAGAGGAGGGGGGAGCGATTGGGAGAGAGAGAGAGGGAGAGACCGCTATCAGAGAGGCGGAGTCTGAGCGGAAGAGTTACCGAGGGTGGGAGAGAGACAGTTCTCACGAGGCTTGTTCCTGCTGCTCCTGGTCACGGTCAGTATTACCGCGGAGTTCAGAGCTACCGGAGGTCCCGTGGATAATTAGGCTACTCTACCGTCTGACCGAAAAAAAAAACGTCTAACTGACAGCCACAGAAACTTCCCACCCTAGACCTCTGTTTTCCCCAGGAGTTGGACACAAGCTATCCGAGGTAGGTGGACGGAAGAGCGGGGTGGGTTTGTGAACTAGGACCGGTGGAGACAGATTTGTATATGAGAAGGAAAGGGAGAGAGTTATGTAGTCTACGCATTTCTGGTTCACTCCTGCTTTGGTAAAAGGAGATGAGAGAGGCGCGCGCTCCAAGTAGACGGTAATTGCCTATTTATACCGGCTGAGAGCCTCTCGAGCTAATCGTTTTCCAGTGATCCATCTGCCACGGTGTGCAAATGCGATGTCTCCAAATGTTTATAATCAACTTAGGAGGAGCAGCAATTTCATAAGAGGCAATCTCCAGTATTTACTCAGTCTAATTCATCCAATCTAATAGATTGAATAACATCCTGTCCTTGTCCATTTTGATGCTGACATATTTACATAATGAAATTAATATTCAATCCATGACAAAGTGCAGGTGAATTAACCTACATGTAGGTGCATACTTGTATGAACAATTATGCCTAGTCCACTTCATGCGCATCAGGGCAGCAGGCTCATTTACCTCCCATGCTGTCTTAATTCCTCTCGTTCTCAATGTCACTTTCTCTCTCATTTTCTCTTTCATTTTCTCTCTTATTTCAGACGATGCTTTTCTGTCTGCTGCCTCTCGCGGCTCTCTTGCTGCGCACGGAGGGCAGGCGCGGGGGAACCGTGGTCGGTAACAAAAACATTGGCCACGCGCTGGACAACGACAAATGGCTCAGCACCGTATCTCAATACGACAAGGACAGATATTGGAACAAATTCAGAGATGTGAGTTTCTAGTTACTGTGTTTTTTTTCGCAACTTTCCTCACAATTTGGCCATTTTGGCGACTGTTGTAGCCCAGGACAATGTTAGAAAGACTGGCTGACCACGAGGCCCTGCCTTGCTGTTGCAGTCCCAGTAATGGTTGGGTGATTTGACTGACGCAGGTGTGTATGCAGCCCCGTCCTTGACACACCCTTACAGTAGGTACGTGAGTGAGTCCCAGCCAGGCAGGCAGTGGACTTAATCCAATGTGTGGGCACTCAGCAGGTAGAACAGTTTAGAGTGGAGCTCATGTGCTGTGAATGAACTGCTCACTCAGTAAGGGAATGAGGCACATCGAGAGAGTGTGCGAGAGAGAGTGTATGGGTGTGTATGAGAGAGAGAGGGAGTGGGAGAGACAGATACAGTATGGACATTCAGGGCCAGGCATAAGCCTCTCCCCCGCATGGCAAAATGTGTAGAATTGCAGAAAGCTTGCTTTATAACAGCAACATTTTCTCTAATCCCCATGGCAAAATGTGTAGAATTGCAGGAAATTAACTCTAAAATGTACATTTTTCTCTCTGCCCTCGCTTAGGGCCCCGAAAAGGCCTATTGAGATACCATGCAGGCTAGGGACACGCTATATTGAGATACCATGCAGGCTAGGGACACGCCATATTGAGATACCATGCAGGCTAGGGACACGCCATATTGAGATACCATGCAGGCTAGGGACACGCCATATTGAGATACCATGCAGGCTAGGGACACGCCCTATTGAGATACCATGCAATACAATGGAACCATAGCCCTGCTCACCCTCAACACAACCCTGACACTACTCTGACACCACTGCTGGGTTCTGTAATCAGAAGAACACAGTGTTTTAGGGGGTCTCAAATGGCACCCTATTCCCTATATAGTGCACTACTTTTGACCAGGGCCCATAGGGCTATAGGGAATAGGGGGCCATCATAACCTCCTTTGTGTTCTCTCTAATGTATGAAGGATAGATCTTGAAGTGGGCAATGGTCTTTTTCTGTTAGCAGCTGTCTCAGCTAGCCGTGCCATGATGGTTATTGTGTAATAAGGCATGCAGCAGTGAGAAGGTTTGCATGAACTTAAGCTAACCTTCTCTTGACTGGAGTCGGTGATGTGGGAGCTAGGATTGACCCTGGCCCTGCATTATTCTTCATTGGAGTGGCGGTGTGAGACCTAGCCACAACGCAGCATGTAAATGGCCTTAAGCGAGGAAGCTGGAGCGTGAGCCAGAGCAAGCGTTAGCAAAATCCCTTAAAGCCCTTTGGTATGTGTGGGTCGGGTGGAGGGAGTGTGTGTGTGTGTGTGTGTGTGGCGTGTGCGGCCTACACACCTACACTCTCCAAGGTCTTCAATGCAAATTGAACTCATTACGTGGAAGCTGCTCGCTGTCTGGGAGGAGAGGAGAGGGGGACTAGGGATGGAGGAGTGTAGATGGGCTGTGACATTTTGGTTTAATATTTTATGTTGTTTTTTCCCGGCCTGAGAGGGCAGCACTATGGTGTGTGTCTGCAGACACATACCTGCAGGTCGTAAGGCTCTTTCTAGCCACTCAGGTCATCAATTATTCTTCCCCTCTCTCTTTCCCCTCCCTCTCAGCTCTCTCCATACCTCTCACTCTTTCTCTTCCCTTTGAATACCTTGGCTATAACTGGCATCACTCCCTTTACTTCTGTGTCATCTAGTCTCTTACCTCTCACCCCATTTTGCCTCATTTACTCTCCTAACCGTCTGTTTCTTTTCCTGATTGTCTCTCTCTCGCTCTCGCTCGCTCGCTCTCTCTCTCTCTCTCTCTCTCTCTCTCTCTCTCTCTCTCTCTCTCTCTCTCTCTCTCTCTCTCTCTCTCTCTCTCTCTCTCAATTAATTCAGTTCAATTCAAGGGGCTTTATTGGCATGGGAAACATGCTTACATTGTCAAAGCAACTGAAATGGATAAACAAAAGTGAAATAAAAAATGAACAGTAAATATTACACTCACACAAGTTCCAAAAGAATAAAGACATTTCAAATGTCATATTATGTCAATATACAGTGTTGTAACGATGTGCAAATAGTTCAAGTAAAAATAAATAAACATAAATATGGGTTGTATTTACAATGGTGTTTGTTCTTCACTGGTTGCCCTTTTCTTGTGGCAACAGGTCACAAATGTTGCTGTTGTGATTGCACACTGTGGTATTTCACCAAATGGATAAGGGAGTTTATCAACAGTTGATTTTTTTTTTTCGAATTCTTTGTGGGTCTGTGTAATCTGAGAGAAATATGTGTCTCTAATATGGTCATACATCTCACTCTCATTCCCCCTCATTCCCTCTCTCTCTGTCTGTGAGACACTGGATGATAGTGATGTGCGGTTCACAAATGATTTGTTCCCAGAACATTCATTAGGTTGCGGTATACAGTGGGGAAAAAAAGTATTTAGTCAGCCACCAATTGTGCAAGTTCTCCCACTTAAAAAGATGAGAGAGGCCTGTAATTTTCATCATAGGTACACGTCAACTATGACAGACAAAATTAGAATTTTTTTTCCAGAAAATCACATTGTAGGATTTTTAATGAATTTATTTGCAAATTATGGTGGAAAATAAGTATTTGGTCAATAACAAACGTTTCTCAATACTTTGTTATATACCCTTTGTTGGCAATGACACAGGTCAAACGTTTTCTGTAAGTCTTCACAAGGTTTTCACACACTGTTGCTGCTATTTTGGCCCATTCCTCCATGCAGATCTCCTCTAGAGCAGTGATGTTTTGGGGCTGTCGCTGGGCAACACAGACTTTCAACTCCCTCCAAAGATTTTCTATGGGGTTGAGATCAGGAGACTGGCTAGGCCACTCCAGGACCTTGAAATGCTTCTTACGAAGCCACTCCTTCGTTGCCCGGGCGGTGTGTTTGGGATCATTGTCATGCTGAAAGACCCAGCCACGTTTCATCTTCAATGCCCTTGCTGATGGAAGGAGGTTTTCACTCAAAATCTCACGATACATGGCCCCATTCATTCTTTCCTTTACACGGATCAGTTGTCCTGGTCCCTTTGCAGAAAAACAGCCCCAAAGCATGATGTTTCCACCCCCATGCTTCACAGTAGGTATGGTGTTCTTTGGATGCAACTCAGCATTCTTTGTCTTCCAAACACGACGAGTTGAGTTTTTACCAAAAAGTTATATTTTGGTTTCATCTGACATCTCCCAATCCTCTTCTGGATCATCCAAATGCACTCTAGCAAACTTCAGACGGGCCTGGACATGTACTGGCTTAAGCAGGGGGACACGTCTTGCACTGCAGGATTTGAGTCCCTGGCGGCGTAGTGTGTTACTGATGGTAGGCTTTGTTACTTTGGTCCCAGCTCTCTGCGGTCATTCACTAGGTCCCCCTGTGTGGTTCTGGGATTTTTGCTCACCATTCTTGTGATCATTTTGACCCCACGGGGTGAGATCTTGCGTGGAGCCCCAGATCGAGGGAGATTATCAGTGGTCTTGTATGTCTTCCATTTCCTAATAATTGCTCCCACAGTTGATTTCTTCAAACCAAGCTGCTTACCTATTGCAGATTCAGTCTTCCCAGCCTGGTGCAGGTCTACAATGTTGTTTCTGGTGTCCTTTGACAGCTCTTTGGTCTTGGCCATAGTGGAGTTTGGAGTGTGACTGTTTGAGGTTGTGGACAGGTGTCTTTTATACTGATAACAAGTTCAAACAGGTGCCATTAATACAGGTAACGAGTGGAGGACAGAGGAGCCTCTTAAAGAAGAAGTTACAGGTCTGTGAGAGCCAGAAATCTTGCTTGTTTGTAGATGACCAAATACTTATTTTCCACCATAATTTGCAAATAAATTCATAAAAAATCCTTCAATGTGATTTTCTGGATTTTTTTTTCTCATTTTGTCTGTCATAGCTGACGTGTACCTATGATGAAAATTACAGGCCTCTCTCATCTTTTTAAGTGGGAGAACTTGCACAATTGGTGGCTGACTAAATACTTTTTTTCCCCACTGTATGTTCTCATAACACAAAAACTGTCCAGGCGTGGTGATGATTTATAGAATGTTTGTATAAAACTGATGATGCAAGAACCTTCCTTGAACACATTTAATCTGTTCTTTAAAGGTTCCCAGAATGTTTCATTAGGTTGTGGAAACATTGTGGGGACATCACAAAAGAGATGTTCTCAAAACACCAAAATATCCAGTTGTGCAGATGATTATACAATGTTTCTTTTAGGGTACAAAAGACATTCACCTAGTATTACAAGAACGTTCCCAGAACACATTTAGTCTATTCTTTAAAGGTTCCCAGAACATTTAATTAGGTTGTGGGAACAGTGTGGCTACATTATAAGAGAGAGTTTTCCAAAACACAAAATATGCTCATTTTGATGACATTCATACACTGTTTAAGTTAGGTTGCACAGGACATGCCCTTAGTTTTTATATATATTGTCAGAAATGCAGAATTTAGACTAACTGTAAAAACATAGAACATTGTGTAAAAATTGACTGGATACCTTGTAAATATGGGCCCAGAAGTACGCAGCATATAAAGAGGATGGGTGACGTGATGGTGAATAACCCACTTACCAGAATTTCCCTGGGTTATTTATGTCTAAGAAGGCTAAAAAGGAAGCATGGAATTCCTGATTGACCATACTGCCATGGCTATATACTGCCAAAAGACAACAAAAGAGCGCTTCCTTGGTGGCGCAGAGGATAAAAGACCTGGCTTGAGAACCAAACATTACAGGTTCAAGCCCTACATGTGAAGATTGTCAATAAAAAAAATCTGGTTGTGTTTGTATGATTAAATGCTGTTCAAAAGTCCTATGAATGAAATTACAGTACCTTCAGAAAGTATTCACACCCCTTGACTTTTTCCACATTTTGTTGTTACAAAGCGGTATGAAAATGGATTGAATTGTATTTTTTTGTCAACGATCTACAAACAATAGTCTGTAATGTCAAAGTGGAAGAAAAATTATAGTATAAAAA